CCACCCCACACCTCTAGCCTGTACCCCAGTTCTTATATGCATACATAAATAAATCTTTTTTTTTTTTTTAAATGTCAATAAACCTCACTGACTTGGCCCTAATCCCAGCCAAGGTGAGAAGGACACACTTTAACCTTGTGGTGCTCTTCCCTGAGTTAAACACATCGTCTCTTACTTAGGAAAACATTCACTAGTGGATGAAGATGAGGGTGATGTCTGGAAAATCTGCATATAACTTCAAAATGAAGCCAGCCTCCACATCTTTTAAAATCAATATAGTCCCCCGTCGCCGAAGCATTTCTAAATTGCAGTTGATTTTCTTCGGTAACAAATTCCTAGTGATTCAAAAAGATTATGATTTCTTTAAGTCTAAAGTGTCTGTCTAGACAAATCTCACTCCAGAAATCTCTCCATTCCATCTGTATGTTTAACCACATATTTCTAGAAAGAACCATCGCGCAAACTATTGAGACATGTTGAATGACTTAGTGAAACACAATTATCATCTACGCTGTATTAAATCAGAGAAGTGGTCACAGGCCCACTTACTGACCTTGTCCAGGTGATGGGGACCAGCCCCCCTACCATACCAGGAGAGCAAGGACATTTTGAGTTGTTTTCAGGCATGAAATTCTACAGTGAGGAGAGAGAAAGGCTGTATTCCTGCTGTACCCTACAAAATGTTCTAGGCTTCCCATTATTTAAAAAAAAAAAATTGGCACCTGAGATCTCTTAGATAGGAATAATTTTTGCCTGTGTGAACAGGGATGAAATTTTCTTTCTCTAATTAATCTCCCAAGAGAGGCAACTGCTTTGGAGTTGGGCTTACCCTGGAAGGCCTCGCCTCCTATCTTCCTCCTTTTCCTATGGCCCTCCCAGTTTGTAGAGAGCTTCCCAGAACCCCACTCAAAATCTCAGAAATGTCAACAGCCTCTCTCAAACCACATATAGAGGGTGGGGAGCTAGACAGCAAGACAACCAGATAAGAAGCGAGTGTCTCTCCAGCCCTGTGTCGTCATGTGGTTTCCTAGAGCAGTTCTGAGAGGAAGGAATTAAATGAATATGGTTACACCCCAGTTGACATGCTTTGCAATAATAGAAGCCACCCAGTATATTAATTTTTGTTTGGGGCTGATCTTTTAGAGTAAAGTGTTTGCCTTTTTCACCATATAAATAAAACCGTGGAAAACACACCCTTTTAAAAAGTACTATTGATTATTTGCTGTCACTGTAGACCTAACATTCCTCCGGAATAAAGGGGCTTCCTGTCCTTTGAGTGCCAGTCCAAACACCTTTACAGCCAGGTACTAAACCTGCAGAACCAGCCCGAAAAGAGTAGGGACTCCAAAGGTTAGCAGACACAGCCGGGTGGCAGAAAGGGCTGTGACTAGAAATTAAATATGGGTAAGGAGGAAACCCCTCTCTTTGTCTGCAGGAGCTATCACATGTTGACAGCTGGAATTTACATGGCTCCTTGTTCAATCAGCTAGCGCCTTCGCTGCGTTCCACCATCAGCAGCACAATAGTGGCACAGAGGCAGAGCGGCAAGTTACACACCATCCGGGGTCCCTGCAACTCTCCACGGACCTGTTCTCCAAGCTCACACTCATTGGATGGAGGAGTCCTGGGTGCTCAATTTCACGCCCCTTCATGTGCTTGCTTGCCTGCTCCATAGGAACTCTGCATTCAAGATGAAAAACAAATACACAAACATAACAAAACCCTTCTACTTTGCTATCATGAAAAAAAATAAAAATAAAAAGCCATAGGGGACCGATGTCTCCCTTATCAAAACTCATGTGGCTACCACAGACCCTCTCTTTACCTTGGGAGTATGTGGCTCTCTGTACGAACTTGAACATAAAGGAAATGCGACCCGTGGAGAAACCAGTGCTATAATTAGTGAGAATTGTTGTTACTGCCTCTTGGACGAAAATAGTCATCAGAGGAGAAATGTACAGTTCCATAAGATCTGACAATAAACAATACTTCCTTTAAATGGCCATGATTCTGGCTGTGGTGAAAAGCTTCCATTAAGAAGTTCCAGAATAGGGCCTCCTTGGTGGCACAAGGGGTTAAGCACTGCTCTATGAAGCAATCCGCAGCCTCTGCAGCACAAGTTTGATTCCCAGCCGGCCAGGGAGCAACCCACATGGAACGGCAGACCTCTCCTGTCTCGCCAGCTGCTGCCCTCAGCAGCGTATTGCAGTAGATCTGCCTGTTCTGCTCCCCAGTTTCTCTGGTGAATCCTCGCATCCTCTGCACCTCTGACCTATACCCCAGTTCTTGTATGCATGAATAAATGATTTTTTAAAAATATTTTTCTCCCGCATCTAATAGATTAGCGATGCATTACTTACTATTTTTAAAATCCCAAATTTGCCTTTCATCTGATTTCTTTTTTTCTCTCTAGTCTATCGTCAGCTGAACTCTGCAGGGAGCTGTACTGGGAGCTGTACTGGGAGCAATGTCTGCTGATAGCAACGGTGCATTTGTCTAGTGAAATGCACACGGCATGGTCCTATGATCTATAAAACAGTCTATTCGATAGTGAAGTTTTTCTGTTTAAAGTACGCTTTACTGTTTATGAAGACACTCATTAGTCCTTCCTGCACTGCACTATATCCTTAAAATATACAAAGAAGAGAGGGAGCCGGAAGGCTCTATGTATTCTGAAGTAGTCATTAAACTTTAATCTCCACCACTAGGGGGCAGAACGGAGTTCTTTTCGAAACCGACTGCTAGGCAATCAACCATCACATCATTGTAACATTGAAGGCACTTCAAAAAGACTCAGATGTTTAACTATTGTGTTAGTGATCATACATTCATATTGGGCTGCAGGCCAAAAGAGAGAAGAAGAAAAAAAAGCCAGAGAAATGCAGCTGAAAAGCGATAAAGTGGTGAATTCTACCTTAGAGCAAAACCATCTTCAGTGACAAATTTCAAAGGCCATATGTATGCGATTTTCATGAAAAGCAGACGACCCTAAATTTCTTTGTTTAACTGGAAGCGATCTTCCTCACAGAAGAAGCAGGTTCTTTTCTACAGTTGCCCTTGTTTATTGTGCTGTTACAAATTCCGCTTTCCTTTCTAGTAGCACCATCAGGATTCCAGAAATGCTGTTTAATGCCAACGGGTATTTCATTAACACTGCCACCTCCAGCACCTTCAAGGATATCACCTCAGGCACAACATTACTGATGGAGAATGTTTAGAATGTTCTGATAAAATAGGGTGCTTTTTTTTCTTTCCTTTCAAATTAAACCCTCCAACCCAACCTTTATTCTGTGGAAACAGCTTAGAGTTTCCAATCAAGTTCTGCCAACACAGGACATTAGGATTTTTTCCCCCATATGGCTAGAACACCAAACGAAGAACCAGGAGATCACAGACATTATTTATCACAAAAACAGAGCCTCCATGCAGAGGTCCGGCTCAGGGCACAGGGCTTTTAAACCTGAGAGCCAGGTTTTTGGAGACCCTAAAACAGCAACATCGCCCACCCGTGGTGGGTTCTCTAAGTAAACAGACTTCAGGAAGAGTTTTGGGGGTTCTGGGCCGGGTCTACCAGTCCTCCGGACAGGGAGAGAGCTTATGCCAATCCCTCTAAAGTCTGTTGTTCTAAAAAGAGTCTGATTTCTGATTTAGTCTGATTTCTGTTTTCACTCTGTGGTGATCCCGGGCAATCTGGAAGTGTCCCACATGATGTGCAGGGCCTGGCATCTCCCCTGCCCCCACTTTATTTTCAAAGCACAAGAAAGATAGTTTGGTAAATAGAGGTAGTGCTGAAAGAGTCCTGTCTTCCCTTTTGCTCCAGGAGGTTACTTGATACCTGTCAATATTTCCCATCAGCTCCAACAAAGCAAAAATCTTGGGCCTTCTGGTATCTCTCGATGGTTACGAGTTGCCTGCTTAAGTCAGCACGTTGCAGACCTTTTCTACGGCCTGACAGCTGATTGGGAGAAGGCCCACTCACTTTCTTAAAGCATGCAGTCATCCGTTTGGCGGCCTGCTCGGGGGTTCCACATGAAATCCTCTTTAGATAAATTCATACTCGCTCGGGGTGATTAGTCTTACAGCTTGGTTGGCTCACTTGTCTTGAAAAGCAGGCCGTTCGTGAGCTGGTGGGGCTGAGCTGGTCTTCTATTAACTGCCTCTGCTGAAGTCACCAGAGCTGGGGGGGCGGGGGAGATGCAACCAGGGGAAAAAAAAGAAACTTTTTCTCCCCCAAAGATGACAGGCTGAAGTTGACAACCTAATCCTCCGGGCTTGTCTTCCTCACTGAAAGGCTCAAGCGATGTCAAAAAGACCAAGTTTGCAGTCTTCATGCCAAACGTAACAGCTTCATTGCAAAAAGAAACCTCCCCATTAAAATGTCCATGTTTTCCCTCCACCTTCCTTAACTTTTCTGCCCACCCACCCTCCCCTATTTTTTTCTCCCAAGGAGAGAGAGATAAGGCTTCCCTGCTTCTAGAACCAAATAGAAACGCTATAGAGGCCCAGCTGGGATAAAGTGAAATTAGTGGATTATTATTACCTTGGGGACATTGGAAACCAGGCTTGTTATTGGCAGTTCCTGTTTCTCTGCGAGTTGTTAATGGGGAGCATTTAAAGGTGTTGGTCAATGGACAGAGGGTGATTTTCTGAAGTGGGTGACTACTATTTGTCTTTTTTACTCTGCTGCTGCTGCTACCTGCCACCCCATTCACCTCTAATTTTAAACCTCTGCTATTTAGAAATAACGGCAGTTTTCACAGAAACAGAAAGAACATTTTTCTTTGAATGTAGACTCGTGGGATCAGGAGAGCAGTGGGTAAGCCGGGAGTCTCGATGTGACTCAGAAATCTTTTAGGAAATAGTATCAGATTGTGAAGCGTACTTGAAAATATAATAAACACAGACATTGTAATCTAAACAAGGGCCGCGTACTCTCTGTGTATCCTTTGGATGTTTTGGAGAGAGTGTTTTCAGTAAAACACAGACCCTCTGTGCTCACACTCCGTGACACGCCTGCCGGGACAGTTTTACACGTACAAGTTGAGGAATTCATGTAAGAACCTTAAAGTTCCTGTTTTGTGGGTTTTTTTGTTTCAGTCGAGGATGCTCTTACTTCTCAGATTCTGAGAACAATTTCAACAGAAAACAAAAATAAAACAAGCCCGGCAACACTCCTGCCAGCAACTCGGAGTACATAGCCAGTCGTTTTCTGCTCAGTAAAATCTTTCCCAAAGGTAAGAACTTTTCCAGGGAATGAGCTCCGTGTTGACTAGCCGGGCATTTTCTACTGGTCTGATGAAGGCTGAGGAACAAACAGATTCTTGAAAATGAACCTATTGTGTAATTATGTGTCTGATGGGAACAGCAAAGTGGCTTAAGTCAAAAATCTTTACCAAAAGATTTTATCATTTTCTTCCAAACATTTGCTAATTGAATTGTGGCAACTCCTGGGTCTTTATTGTTGCTCAGGTGACTGGATTGAAGAAGAACAGGCAGGGAGACCGATTTCTACCTAAAGAAACTCTTAACCCGAGGTTAGTGAGCTGGTAACCCCAGAAACAAACACAGGAGCAAAAAATGGTATTTTTCAGTACGATTTCTCACAGTGGAGTCATAGGCTATTTTTGAAAACTGGATCCACAAGTCACATCACATCTCTAATGAACTCTGCATTGTAGCTGCAAAGCCTTCCCAGAGACTCTGCCTGCTTGGTTGTATTTTCCACATTTCTATATTTAAAACAAATTCCCTACCCACCCACCCCCTTACTGAATTCAGGGAAACACAAATAACTTATAAGCCTTGCGCTGAATTGAGTTTGTTTTGCTTTCATGCCTAGTATTGCTTTTGAAATTGTTTAGCAGGAAGGGAAAGAAAAGGCTGCTGGCATTAGCTTACCACACCAGCTCCAAACTTAGCCTCTCCCTGTTTTTTGTAGGTTTTATTTCACCCAAATCAAGACACTATGTACTTCTTTATAATGAGTTTCTATCCTATGTGATATGTCATCTATGAACTAAACTCCCGTAGATGATAGAGACCCAGAGGGATGATACGACCTCAATATGCCCCTTAGGAAAAGAACTCAAGTTATGTGAAAACTAAACATGATGACTTTGGAGCTATTTATTTTATGTCCATTTTGCAGATGGCAAATTGAGAGGAGAGCTCGTCTAGATGAATCCCGTCATTGTGGACGGATAGAGAAGTCAGCTGGATCTCTGGGGGCCTTTCAAAGCAGCCAACGTGCACCCAATACCGTAATTCCCAGAAAAAGCAACCAAGAAGTTTTATCCAAGGTATGTGGGGGGGACGTCAGGCTTGGGAAAGAAAAACCCAAAGTAAATCTGAGGGCCACCTCTGCTGGAGGAGCCGTGGGGCAGGTGGGGGGCAATAGCTGCACCCAGGTATTTTCCTAGTGGACCAGAAAATCCTGTGAGCAGCACAGAACTTGCCTGCGGTTCTGCAGACTCGGAGCGGGTCCTTGCAGCTCTCTCTGGCCTGGCCAGTATGTTTGCAAGAGCATCCTCAGAGCTGCAGCAATAAACATCTCCAGCTGCCTGAGCTCTGCTAAACAAGCCTGGGCAAAACAGTCCGAATTCCTTTCCTTTGACCATTTTCGCTTTCCCCTGGAATAGGCGAGTCAGGGAGTGGGCCCAGGACATGTCCCCCAGCCCTGCCGGGCTCTTGCTTCCCCAGGAACACACACGCCCTCCCCCAGCCCGCCTCTCCACTTTTGTTTTATTTACGAATATGTTGCCAGAATTCCAATGAGTTATCTATTCTGTGGCCCCGTCATTTTCCCACCGAGTCCTGGTCGCCGGCTGACTCAGGGTCCAGTCGTAACACTGAGAAGAAAAGAAGACAGCAAAAGAATTCTTTTCAACTTTTTTTTTTATGTTTCACTCATTTCTCTCTCTGTCTCCCCCCAGCCCCCTCCCCTGATCGCCCCCCCTCCCCCAGCCTCCCCAGTCTCCTTTACCCCCTTTATGTTACACGATCACTCAAATTGAAGCTCAGGAGGGTCCTATAGGGAATGCATAGGATCCCTGGGAGAAAAAAGCCCCCAACAAGCTATACACCAGATGTATAACGTTATATGGTCAACCTGGCAAACACAAAAGCTGGAAAACAAAAGGCATGAATTAGGGAGAGGCATTCAAAGGCGTGTTTTCAAAACAGCCCAGCCAAGAGCCCGGGTTCCCCTCCTGAGACTAAATGCTTGAAAGAAAAGGTGCTAAAGAAAGAAAGGAACAGAAAAAAAGCCCATTTTTTCTAATTAGCTGAGGCCTAACAGGCCCTGAATTTCGCAACTAGTTTTCATCCAGGGGCCTGTGGCTTGTGAAACCGAAAATATGCTTTCGAGAACTGGGGTGCTGGCTCTCTGGACCAAAGCGAGACTCGGTCCTGGGGCTACTAGCTGTCTCCCCCTCGGATCTGGGTTCTGCCAGCTTGTCTCCCAATCCTTTATTCACACTCTTTCCCTGAACGTGCAAATATTATTTAGGTTGAAAAAGAGAGCAGGAGGGAATCCAACCAGGTCCTCCCTCCTCTTTCTCGCGGGCTGGTAGGGGCAGAGGGCTCTGCAGGCCAGCCCAGTCCTGGCTTGATATGAATCTCATTCCACCAAAGGGGGGCAGAGGTGTCGCTGCAGAGGGGAGGGTGTGTGTTTACTGTAAATGCCGGGATTAAGATGAAAACCTCTCCACCACTGTGAATTTAGATATTTGGAGGATGATCTCTCACTGTGAGTTTTTTCAAATGCAACAAGCAGTGTTTGCAAGACAGCAAAGTATATTCCCAAAGCAAGCAGCTTGGCTTGGCGCTGGGCTATGAGACAGGACACACGCCCCGATCTAATTTTTTTTTTTTTTCCTTTTCCACATTCTTATTTAAAGTGAAGAGAAAGGTGTCATGGCCAGAGACTTCTTGGTCCTCTGCTGCCTAACAAATTACGGACTTGCGTTCTTCGATGCCATTTCTAATCAGAAAACAAAACAGAAACCGTGGGTGAGTGTCGGTGGCAGGCTGTGTTAGGAAGGAAGGTGACTTTAATTGCCGTGCTGTCTGGCATGGATGCCTGTGGTCCTGCGTGGTGTGTTTTAGTAACAAACTCTTGTTCTAATGAATGAGCCTTATTAGGGGCTCCTCATATTCTTTCATAAAGAGCAGAGCTATTCTGAACTTCTGAATGCAACAGTCTCTTGATATTCTCACACTGAAGGCTGTCTGTGGGACAGCATCGCTCCTCTGTATTTTCGTAAGGTGCATGTTTGTGAGTGTGAGTGTGTGTGTGTGTGTGTGTGTGTATTTTTAGGACTGCACAGTGAGAGGCAGAAAGAGAAGAAAACTCTTGTATTTACAGGTCCAGGCCATGTAGGTATCAAGGGCGATCAAAGATATTTGCAAAATTTATATGCAAAAATGTATTTGTTTCACAGATGAACAATCCAGATTTTTGTCCTGTCACCTCTTGGCACATATTTTTGATAAACTCGTGGCATGGGATAAAACAGATTCATTAGCTTTGATTAACCTTCTTTAACTAGAGTTAAAAACCTGCTGTAGGCAGCTCAGTTGCCGTTGCAACTTTCAGATACTTTATCATGTTTAAGACCCAATTACTGTTGCACTGAATAAGAATAAAACATCACAATAAAACGTGGAACAAACAGCCACTGCAACGTGCATGGCAAATAGTCATTAATTTATAGCAGTGACTTCCCCAGTTGTAGGGTTTTTCTGAAGGCCGCACTTAATTCACGCTGAATACTCTGGAATTCCAGTGCTGATAGGAGAAACTACTTCCCCAGCCTCCTTGACTCCTGACTTTTTTTTTTTCTGTCTTGCAGCTTTAGTTTGCAGTTTCAGAAGACTCCTTTAAAAAGTTTAAAATGAAATAGAAAGGGAGAGTGAAAGTGAAAACAAGTGCTGCAGACCTAGGTCTATAGGTGAGGGGTGGGGTGGGGGATTCAAATATCACAGAACTTGCAGATTTGGGAACAATTTGTCAATAATTGGAAACATTTCCAGTACGAAAATGTAAATCCTAAATCAGCCTTGAGTCCATTAAAGGAGCCACGCGTGCAAACTTTGAACAAGAGCTGCTGTTGGTGCATTTTGTGTCTCTCGTGCGGAGACGCTGCCACAGAAACACGCCAGCGTGCCAGGAGTTAATTTTGGACAGGATTTGACTGAACCCGGAATAATGAACAGTGAAATACTGCAGCTTTCAGGCAAAACAGAGTAACAACAATTAAAAAGGAGAGACAGGGAACGTCGGGAGAAAACAATCTCCAGTCAGTTAAGGAAGACGAAAATTCTAGTGTTTGAAACAGATCAACCCAGGGGCGGCCTGGAGCTGCTGATCCTGGCGAGCCCTGTGCAGGGGTGTGGAGAGCGACAACATTTGGGAGCCAACTGTTTGTGGGTTTCTTCTCAACTGCTTTAAAATGTTTGGTTTTGCCGTATTTCCATAATAACCACAACCACCCTCTTTCCCCCTCCGAAACCCCCCACAAACAACAGATGTGTGTGCTAAGAGGAAACGGAGACACTGATATAATCAGACACTACTTAGAGCGCTTTCATACTAAATTCTCCAGCAAATTCACGACAACAAAAAAAAACTCCCAACCGCGGGTGGAATTAATCTAAGATCCTTGATTATTTGAAGTTGTAAAAGTTTTCATTTTGCATTTTGTGTTTGAATGTATAGTGCTTTATTTATCAAACGGCAGCGTAATTTTCCCTTCAGTTGGAGGCTGTGATTGTGAAACAAACAAATTGAAACTTTAGGGCCTGTTCTCTCCAAATTTAGTTCCATTATCACTTTAAGAATGCCTAGGACTTGATGACACCAAAGGGGAGGTTGTCACTGGTTATCTAGTTGCTAACTCAGCAATTCCATGGTTAACCCAGCACATCCTAAACTCCAGTATGGGGGGGTTGTCTTATTGTGGGGTGTCTGTGTGTGTGCTTGTGTAAATATCACGAGAGCAATACGGATTTCAAATATTAATGATTTTCTATTTTAAAGTGAGAAAATAAGAATACAAGTTTCCAAAGACATAAAAATTAAATAAGTACATGTTTTAGCATAGGTTAGAATGGGGCTAAGTGCAGTGATTTTTAAAGTATCAGGTTTTATCAGCACTAAATCTCCACATGGCCAGGGCTTTGTAGCATGTGCCAATATGCACTTCCTTAAAGTGTCCTACTGAGAAAAAGAACGTCAGATACATATGACAGTTTTTAGCAGTAAATGGTCTTGGTCTTCCTACAGAGTCATTTGGAACTTACACCATAGCCCTTAATTTTGTTTGACTTGGAATCGTTTATTTAATTTTGTTCCTCTGAACATGCTCTTAGAAGAAGCCCACATTAAAAAAAAAAAAAAATGCTGAAGTTGGGGGAAGAAACCAGAATTGGATCAGAAAAAAAATTCTTATGGTGAGCATCCCTTTGGCTTCCTCTGTATCTCTCTAACCTTAGAAGCTGGAAACACTTAACCCCAACCTACGGCCCAGCCCTGAAATGACTTTGGAAATCATCCTGCACGAGGCCCATTCATGGGCCAAGAATGAGGTCTCTTTGGCTGCTGGACAAATTCTGTTCCCCATTTCTAGAGCCCAGGCTTCAGGCTTGTCCCCCAGGACAAGCTTTTGACTCTTAATCTAGTTTGATCTACTTCCTCCTCCCCGAGTCCAAACACAACCCATTGTCTTGCTTTCCTCTATCGCACCCCTGATCCAGGCACCCCAAACACGTTCTCCTAAAGTCTGGCAGGCTGTCCCACCCTCCTGTGCCTGCGTGGCCAGTACCCAGGTCTCCGCTGCCCTCACAGGCTGCTGGTTCCGCCCCACACCTCTTCCTCTGCCTTGCTAGACTTCCTGCAGCTCTGCTTTGCCCTCCTGCATCTCTGTTTTGCCCTCCTGCTTCTGTTTGCTCTGCTCACTGCTCTGGGACCTCCCTACAAGTCTGAATTGTTAAGCATCAGTTCCCTTTTAGATCATCCTCTGAGGCACTGACAGAACTGTTCTGTCTGGTCTCCCTTGTAACTTTTTGAAGTGCAGAGAGGTCTGGGCAGAGGGAATCAAGGAAGATGAAGAGACAAAAGAGGTCTTCAGTGGGCTCCCTTCACACCTTCCCTACCCGGTTACCTTCTGATATGGCCTAGGGCCTCGACCCCTTTCTAACAATCTGGTCGCTACTTGGAATGCTCATCATTCGACCCGCCCAAGAACTTTGTCTCCAACTCGCTAGTATAATCCCAATGCTGGCCCTGCAGAAAATGTTGCCCTCCAGAGAAGGAATATCCGTGAACTTTAAGCAAATTCAGTAGCCATTTGCAGCCCTCAGTGAGAGTTGGTAAATTTACTAATTTCAGAAAGAGGCAGCCACCCAAATTTGGGAGGCTGTGAAGAAGTCTTCCCCGAAATTCCTTCTATGACCAAAGGAAAAAAAAAAAAAAAGCATGTACTCCAGGAGGGTCTTCACCTGCTCTGTCTTCATTCCTACTGCAGAACAGCCATGAGGCTTAGGTTGCAAGTGGTCACCTTCTCACCCCCAGCAGAAGGTACCAGTTCCACCTGCCAAAACCCTCTTAATAATTGGCCTTGGACATAAAGCCAGGGGTTGTCTGGGATATTCGAGATCAGAGTAATAATAGGAAAAATGATTTGAATAGCAGCTTCTTGTAAATTTTCATTTGCGAATAAAGTCAATGGTTCTGAAGCACTTGGAAAACTTTGAAGAAGTTTCACTTGCTGAAGGGTCAGGGGCAAAGGTCGGGGTGGGATGGACATGGACATTTGATTTGGAGAGGTTTGGGATTATTTATATTCCAACAAAGACAAGGGCGTACCATTATACCCGGGACAAATACCCACCCCGTGGATAATCTGTCATCACTACCCAAACTCAGTAGCCCACGTTCCCAAGACCAGGGCTTCATCTCTGTTACCTGCCCTAGGAGGCTATAGTCTCACCTGTCTGCCCGCACCCCCATCTCAGTTCTGCACTGGGATGAAAGGATCAGTGGACTTCCTGGGCCTTCGAGACTCAGGATCCCTTCTCAAGTCCTGACACAGCCTCGCCCAGCCTCCTGGCAGTCGAACCCAAAGCTGGCACTGCTGTCCAGGTCACCGGAGGCTGGTGTGGTGGTGAAGGGCACTGGGCCCATCCTGGCCCCTCCTGTGACAGACCCGTCAGCTCCTACTGTTCCTGAAGCTGCTGAAATCTTCAGCCACCACTCCTGCTCCTGTTCTTGGATGCAGAGTTAGAGTTGAAGGGAAACCTCCAGCATCAAGCCCCGGTAGGCACTCCTGTGCCAGGACCCTCCTATTTTCTTTTGCAATTACAACAGCCACCCCCTCACCCCGGGGATGGACAGGCTTTTCTTTCTTTCCAGCTACCAGATTCAGCCTGTCTTCCGGAATCTTGACTTCTAGGTTCTGAAACGCCAGGAAGCCAGTAAAAGTTTTATTTTTTCATTAGTAAGCCAGCAAGACAGAGGTGAAATCCCCCCAAAACTAGCAAATTTTTCACTAAGTAACTCTTCACTGCTCCTTCCCAGCCACCACACACACCAACCTCTGTTGATGGCGTCCACACGTACCACACAGCAGGGCAGGAAGATGGGCTGCGGCTGCCATGGCCGTGGAGCTTATAGATTCATGGGCTCTGAGGATATTGCACACCAGCAAGCAGCAACTGAGCTAGATAGCACTTTTACATGCATTATCTCATTTAATCTTCCTGGGGAAGTGGCTGTTCAAGTTCATAATATAAAGAGCCTAACACAGCACTTAACTCCACAGCGTGGTTGAGAGGATGTTGGTGACATCGAGGTTCCATGCAGCTCCTGCACATCTCTCTCTCTCATCCACCCTCCCTGCAATGTGTCCAGTGCTTAAATGATGCTCATCTGTCCAAGGTACTTACCTGAGCTTTCTCTCTCCCTATAACGAGTGCACAAAAAAGGGAGATTGGCCATGTGGCGCTTTCGGTCCCTCCTAGCTCTTTGTTAGGCGTCTTTTCCAATTACCTAAGCACAAATGGAGTTCTCCCTGGAAGATAGCATGTTTTCAAGTACATCACTGGTCACAAAATGAACCAACAAAATAATGTACTGTCGCATGTGGTTTAAGTACAGGGTAGCATTAAAGGGTGCTGTTCTTGTGTCTCCAGTTCTTAAGTGGCTGTCTCGAGTGGGTGTGCTGTCATCTGAGTTAGTCCCTGATGAAAACACTGCATCTTTAAGGCCCCCCAGAGCCCAGGATTGTCTTCTTGTTTGGAAGATTATCACGGGTTCATCCCGGTTTGTGTAATTTCTTAGCTGTGATGACTCTTTCACAAAAAAATGAAGAGCGGAACTTAGAGGACCTGTGTCTAGAATGACTAAAACCCTAAATGCTTAGAATGTCTGAGATATGCTTGCTGAGAACTCATGAGCAGATTCCGCGATGAAGGAAGCCGAATACTGATTCATGGTGTCACCAGGGGATCCCAGGAGAGAGAGGCCTACATCTTCTTCCAGTTTAAAGTACAAGACTGCTCCTCCTTGTAGTCAAACCATTTCCACGAACGATTCACTTGATATTATGGGAAAGCCTGGGAAATCTGGCATCTGAGCAAACAAACAAATACACAGAATCTGTGTGTAGGGAAAAAAGGATCTGATTTTTATACTCAAAATGGAGGCAATCAGTAATATTGAGGTAAGTGGTTCATTCATTCATTAAGAAATATATTAAGAGCAATCATCATGGGTTCTGGGTTTTTCTAGGCACAGTGGACAAGATGGAACCACCAAGACCTGTGTTGATGACCTAGAGCTGGTCCAATTACTCAAGAACTAATGTGAGTGAGAAAACTGATTTGTGATTTTCTGATAGATCCAAATCCTGGGTACTGCATGTCTTAAAGATATGATAGTGAAAATGAATCTCAGGGTGAACTTGCAACACATCAACATGGATGCCAACATGGTCCTGGCTGGAATCCACAGCCCACACCGGGCAGCCATGCACTGATGATGGACGTAACTGAGCTCCCAACACTTTCAGGAGTGCAAAGGAGAAAAGTCATAAAGACACTCTTTTATTTCCCTTATGGGAAGCTCTAGGTTATAAGAAATCAACTTCTAATAATTCCTTAGCCTCCCATCTTATTCCCCAATTTTTATGAAGTGACATCAAACATCTTGATTTTGGAAAAAGAGGGTTTATTTCTGTTTTTGTTTTTATTTATCTTGTAAAATAAGTCTAGCTTTGATCCAGCAGATCAAAGTCCACCACAAAGCAGATAAAAGTAAGTGTCTGAAGGTATGGTATTTTTCTCAGACTCTGGAAGCCACTTGAATTTGATTCAAGAAGGCAATGTACTCTTTCTTGTCCTGATATAAACCAACAAATAAACATTTTCTAAAAGCCCAGTTCTACAGACACAAGACATCTGGATACTTTAAAAAGGAATCCACATTCTTGGCAGTGTATCCCGACTTGGGATCCAAATCTTCTGAAGTTCACACATCACCATTGTGACAAAATGCTACCCTTCCACGCTGTGTCTCCATAACATCCTACCGATGTCTTCTGTGCTGCAAAACATCTTAAAAAGTTGACGACCTGAAGAGAAATGTAGTTTTATCCCATAAGGTCCTGGAATTTGATCCAATTTGTTCATTATGCACAGAAGGTGCACTATGTAATGTGCCGCTCACGATGAGAATGCTTGAAAAGGTCATTGGCTTAGTTCAAATAAACAAAACGCCTTCTCTATAACATTCTGGAATGATAGAGATTCAAGTGGTGAGAAAACTGGGGTATAAGGGAAAAAAATCAGAGGCTAGTTCTGTTTAGGTTTAGGGTAAACTTATTTTTAGAATATACAGAAAGATTGCTGAAAAGAAGAAAACACTGTGTAAAAGAAACTAAAATAAAATCTGGACACAATGGTCAGTTTTTCAAAGAGAGAATGGTTAAACTTTTTTTTAATTTTTGTTTTTTGCATGGAAGAGCTGGGGTATAAGCCAGAGGTACACGGGTGTGAGAGGATTCACCAGAGACAGAATGGGGAGCAGAACAGGTGGATCTACTGAAATTCACTGCTGAGGGGTGCAGTGGATGGGACAGGAGAGGTCTGCTGAGCCATATGGGTCAGCTCCCTAGTCAGGGATTGAACTCAGGTCCCAGTGGTGACAAGGCTGAAAGCCCCATTAAACATTTTAAAAGACAGTCATCTTTATGCCCATTGTGCCTTTTTTCAGGCCTAATTGGTAGAAATCAAGTGAACCTGGGAACTAGGCCCTACTTTGCTCAGTGCAAAGTTCTCTTTCACTTCAAACTTTTCGGTAACAGAGGACAGAAGAGGCTCTATTTTTTACAGAAATTTCCCAAAGTCTCATGCTGAGAGAACAAAACAATTGAAATATTTAAGGAGTTGTCTTATTTGAAAAGATAAATCCTTTGAAAGTTTTAGGTTACACTTAGGTTTTAGGTTAGATTTTAAGTTTTTCAATAGATTTAGGTATTATATTCTTGGAGGACCCATTACAAGCTGGGGTCTTTCCATATGCTTTTTATTTAGTCATCACAATCATTTAAATTTACCCTAAGTAGGGAATTTATTGCCATATGTATGAGATAAGTGAGCTGCAGGAATGAAGTATCTCCCGTCTCCAACAGCAAAGTCAGGACTGAGCCCCAAGTGGTCTCTTCCCCAAGACTCAGCTTTGGGCTACCCATCATGTCTCTTAATAATGGATGAAGGCAAGGCCTCCTGAGGTGCCCCCAGAAGGATTTCAGGCCTTGTAACTGACAACTGACTGAATGGTGACATTAAATTATTTTTCAAGTATGGCTTCACCAGTGGCTGAGTTCATGGACTCTGAAAAGAAATCAGGTGTGAACGGAAATACAGGGCATGTTTGCAGTGGGCTTTAGCTAAAGAGCACCTTGAAAAGCCACCTTGTTCCAAGGCTGACTGCAAGATTTATGGGGCAGGTCTTGTCTAACGAACTTGTGAAATTTCTCTCTAGATATTATAGCATGCTCGGTGGGGAAACACACTGCATCCTGTATCTATCAAAGAAAAGCATCCAATATGACTTGATATCAAAGCACGGCTGTCCCTCAGAAGTCAGGCAGTGGGTAGCCATGGGGAGAGGCCTTCTTCAGCCTGAAAGGACCTTCTAGCAGGGCTGCTCAGGGGACTGCTTTCAGGAGATTTTGTGTTTGGACTTGTTGTCAATGACTTGGGGGGAAAAAAGGGCCAAATGAAGATTCTGAGAGAAGGGTTGACACCCAGCAGTGATGTGAGAAGTTCAGGCCTCTCTGTGCTTATGGCTTTGTCCCTGTTGTTGCGCATGTCTTTGGATGCCCAGTGGGTCACCGGTTCCATTGGGTGACCAGTGGGCCACTCTGTCGGCACCCGGTGGGAGTGGAAAATGGGAAAAAGAAGCAACAACAATGGAAAACCTCTGCAGAGTTCAACTGACTATAGCTTAGAGAGAAAAAAAAAATCAGACGAAAGGCAAACTTGGGAGTTTAAAAATAATAAGTAGTGCATCGTTAATCTATTAGGTACAGGAGAAAAAAAGTTTTTTTTTTTAATTCATTTATTTATGCATACAAGAACTGGGGTGTAGATCAGAGGTGAGGGGGATGAGAGGATTAACCAGAGAGAGTGGGGTGCAGAACAGGCAGATCTACTGAAACACACTGCTGAGGGGAGCAGTGGGCGAGTCAGGAGGGTCTGCTGCACCATATGGGTTGCTCCCTGGCTGGCCGGGGATCGAACTTGTGCTGCAGTGGCTGATGATAGCTTGATAACTCTATCTTTAACCCATGAGCCACCAAGGAGGCCTGAGAAAAAATAATTTAATTTATATATAATGAATGTTCATCAATGTTGCATTAATTGGTCTTAACAAGAGATATTACCCCACCATATATGGGAGAAAAACAAATATGTAAACAAACAGCAGCAATGAGGATTAAAAAAAAACCAAGAATGTCAGAAGTACCCACAGACATGGAATAAGATAATATCAAAAGTTTGGGGAAAACATAATTAAACATAATTAAAAGTTTGTTGAAAACTGCTAAAATAGCGGCTTGTTAATTTCAGAATATAAAGTTGCTATCACGTGTGGAACAATTAGAGTTACTATTTTTCAGCCCTTTCAAATAATGACACTTAAAACTTACTTGGCTGTGTATAGGATCCAGTGACACTGGTGGGTATATACACAAACAGTCTTGCATGTGTGTGTATAGCCATACACAGGCATGCACTCACAAGTCTGCATAGATGATGCCATTAACAAAGTGTCACCACACCCCTAGTCACAAGTGATCTTCTCGTAAAGCAAAGTGCTTATTCTCCAACTTCTCTAGACAGATTTAAAAAATAGCTTTTCTTGGGCCTCCCTGCTGGTGCAGGGGGTTAAGACACAACCTATGAAGCTGTCCACAGCCACAATTTAGCAATTTCAGTGAGTTCACCGGAGAGATCTCATTCTAGTGGGATTGCAGTAGGAGAAAGTGAGATTCGGAGGCATCTTGACATCTCCAACGACTTGAACAGTATATGCCTCTATGGAAGCCCTGCAAATTTGCAGAGGGAATACATGTATAAGGCACTTAGAAAGTGGTGCTTAGAAAGTGGTGGGTCCAGCACTAGAATCCAGTCTTCTGTATTGTGTTCTCTGTGTAGGGAGGACAAACCCTTTCCCCGACTCAGTGAAGATTTCCAAGCTGCCCGTGACTTCTGCCCAGGTTCTGAACTGGGGATTCCTATGATGTGCAGGAAACTGTTGCATGTGGTAGGACAAAAACAGTCACCATCACAAACTATTCTGCCTGTTTATTGGCACAGTTGTGGGTATGTGAACTTCTGCTTTAAATAAAATCATAATGTCATGAAAAAAGTAATGAGTTCCCGGGTTAGGGCACATATTTTCAAACTTATGACAAGTAGGAGTCTAGATGAGAATATCTTCATATACTTTTTGGAATTAATTAGCCCTTTTGTCCTTAAGAACCAATTAAATCTCCTTCCTTTGATTTACATGATGGAAAGTGTTATATTGTACAATTTAGCAATTTCAGTGAAATCCTATCAAACCAAAAGCTTTCAGTTGATTTGACTTGCCACTGTTCATCTTCATCACCAAGACAACATGTACCTGCAAGTGCATCTCCACAACTGGCCTGACAACACAACAGTTTTCCAGAAAAGCAGGCTAACTATATTTTTCCGTCTTGCTCCATTTCATCTCCAGTTGTATAGACCTAACCTTAATGTACCTGAACCAAATGAGGTGTGATTTCCTCCCAATAGGACTCAGCACTTTAAATAACTATTAAAGAATTGGGAGAAGTGTGATTTTGTTTCTAAATTCAGAAAGAAAAAAAAAAGATGGTGGAGATACATTTCAAACCCCTTCTAATATTGGGGATCAGCTGAATAATCCTCTAGAGAGAGCACTTTTTCAATCATAATTTTCCTACTATTTACTATCTAAAATAATGGATGGATTCAAATTAAAATAACACAGATCATCAAGAAAACTTTATAAAAATGATGGTAAACCTTGGGAAAAGGCATACTTAATGAATAGTTTCACTATACAGTTTATGTCTGAACACCCTCAGATTATTTTTTAGAAATATGAAATATTTAATGTAAACTTAATTTTTGCCCAAATCAGAAGAATCAAGCATACCGTGAAGGCATATGAGATTTCTAATTCACATTTCTCATCTCCAGAGGATTGAAAAACTTCATCTATCTGTTTGAATGCCTGGGTCATAAGCCAGGCTGAATATGAACTTTAGATATTTGAGAGTGACCCATCAATGTTTTCAAGTCCAAATTGGCCACAGAGAAACCCACGGACCATTGCCTCATTGTTTATTCTTGTAAATTATAAATATTTTTAAAGTCCCAAGTTATAAAGTTAGTAGTGACATTTTATGACTCCCAGCCATGACATTGTCCACTTGCTTCTCTCCAGCTTCGAGTGTTG